TCCCTTCCTCAGTTATTTTATTTTCTTCCCTTTGCTGCGTCTGCAGCACTCAGATAGTTGTCATGCTCCTCATCTCCTTCCTACTTTTTAGTCTGTCTCGAAGACGGTATCTTGGCCTTCCATCCCCATGGTCTCAAGGGTTTTGGCTTTGACGGACAGGTAGGCATCGATTCTCTTTTTTCCCGTTTCAGTTGGGTCGAAAGAAGCCGAATTGGCTGTTGCATGAGTATCACGCTCAGTCCTTTACTTACTTTGTTTAAGTAGTTGGAATTATTTATTCTGACACCAAGAACCACGGCCTGAGCACATAAGGAATCTCATACTTCACTTTTTTCTACCGCATGTTGCCACTTCCCTTTCCTGCCCCTTTTGTCTTGATCCTCAAAATATAAATCGGACTTGAAATGTCATTTTAATCATTGATGCAATACTTTTTTTTGATGCATAATTTTCTCCATATCTGTCTCTTCTAGCTGACACAGGATATCAACGATACTCAGCATATATACCAGCTTCTCGGAAGTGACAAGTAAGTAGCATTAGAAAATTTCGTTTTTTTCACGGTAACTTCCTCATACAAGGGGGTGGGGGAGGGAACAGTACGTTGGACTTGATCAATCCGCCTTCACGCCGTCGTGACTTCTATTTGACGTATATGCTTTTGTCTGCCTCAGTGCTGAGAGTCTGCTTCAACTTCCAGCACCTGGTTGAATCTCTCCCCAGCTCATTTGAGTGCGCTTTTAAGTTATGAGGGCACCATTAACATGTTTTACGCAGCTGAGACTTAAGTGCCTAAAAGCCAATCTTTTGTACGTATTTATGAATGGCTTTATATGTCCCGGGCATAACACTCAAAGACGGAATTTCGGATGAACGTGATTATCTCAGAATGTGGTGTTTTAAAATTTCCCAATTATGCGATAGTGGTGTTCACAAATCCATCTTTTTCGCAGCAACTAAGTGGTTATTACTGTCTACCATTAACCTGTCGGGTCTAGAACCTATATGGGCGGTCGCAAAGAATCTAGCAGTCAAAATTGTGAGCTTTAACCCCCGGAATATCAAGGAAACCAAAATGACCGTATCTGACTTACCTTTCATCGTCGGCCAGTTACGTGGTCGTTATGCATTTCTTGGCGTGTAAAGCTTCAATAAGTTGTCTACCTTTTTGGGAGAAACCATAGTGCCTTCTTCTGAATCAATCTTTGTGATGAGACTCGGTTTATACTCAGAAACCATTGGCACACATCTCAGGTTGGGGTGCATACCTCTGATTACTGAGACACCAAAAATCGATTTTCACAAAATCAACACATTTCATTCATTCAACTGCTGTCCCTCAAAATTAGCAGGGGTTAACTTCTTGCGAATTCCCTTGACGATATCAAAATTTCGGCGATAGAGTGTACTGTATGGCGTGTATTGGATGTGGATGCACCAACGCCTGGCAGCGATCGCAAGTAAGCGCTTGCAATCAGGTACGTATGATTTACACAATTCTCACGCCCTCCAGATAGTCATTGAGAACGCCAACGATATGCATGCCTTGGAGGTGCTATTATCGCAGGGGGTTAAGTAAGTTAAACCGTGCAACTACGATCTTCAGACCATAGTTACTTAGTGGTGAAGAGAAGTCGTTAAAGGCCAGAGTAGATGGAAGAGTATATTGTGTACACAAAGGAGGGAAGAATAGATGGAAGAAGTGTAACTTGGGAGGACACGTCCGCCGGGGAGCCAGCCGCGCTCCAAGTCCGGTTTTTAGCAGCAGGCATGCAGGCAGCAGCGAGAATGGGCATTGTCTGGTTGCCTCAAAGGTTATTGGCCGGAAAGACTGCATCGACCACGGCGTGCTTGCGACCCTATTCGCCACTGTGAGAGGCTAGCTTTTGAGGGACCTGATTGGCTATTGCAGAGGCCGCCTTAAGTGCAGAAGTACTCGTTAGCGACAGCGAGCCTTCGGACATTCTCGCCTACGTGGAGTGAGTCACCACACTACCTATCACCGCGACAAGTGATTGGGGTGTTTTAAACGCTTGTAATATCCTTTTTGTAGGCTTATTGCCATTTGAACCCTAGCCTCTGGTGGTGGTCGTCTCGTTCTACCGGATTCTTTTACGTCTTCTTATTTTTCAGAAACATTGTTGTCGAGAGTCGACCAACCGATGATCCCATGTCAATGTCGAACATTTACCTTCTATTCGGTCATGAAAGCTGTTTCTAAATTCGCCGTCGCCGCCACCGCTGCCGCCATCCCTCTTCATTTATGCTCTCCTGCTGACCTTGGGTTTTGTGGCTCGAGTCTCAACGGAAACGTCTTTCGATAGTAGGAAAGAAAATTTGTTCCTACCCCCCACCTTCGCCCCGCCCCCCTATTTTTGCCAGTTACTACCCATAATTTATCCGGACTCTATCCCTCTGCCCCCCCTTTTCTCTTACACTGACATCCGATTACGCGTGTTTTACTTTTCACGTTCTCCCTCTCTTTCTATTCGCTCCCTGCTACAAACTGATCAAGGTCGAGACTGTGTAAATGGCCGCTACTTTTTTACCCTCTGCCTCATACTGCGTTGTTGATCTATCGGTGCTGCTTTTACGTC